GCTCTCTCAAAAAGTTGTACAAGTGCTTATGTCGGTTGATTAGCTCAAAAAAATAAATTAAAACAGTCCTATTCATAATGGTATTATAGACAGACAGAAAGCTTTAACCTTAGACGGTTGCTTATATTTTGTGTTACAGGCTAAATTTACTTCATTCTTTGGACCTGGAATTACAGCAGAAGTTGGTGAGTAAAAATTTAAGCAACTATTCTTATATGCCAATAGAATAAATGCATTCTAACATAATCTTGTGTTGCAGGTAAGGGCGAAAATGATTTTTACGAGGTTCGACTTATCTCCAATACAGACCCTAATGCAACTTCTTCATGATGTTCTTGATCATTTTATCCTCCTATTCCATGTTACTTGGTTCAGTTAATTACAAAGACTTAGGTCCTATAAAATATGTATAAAATTAAAAGGTATAGATTATTTTTTTCATGTATTATACTTTGACAGAGATTGAAAGAAAGAGAAAAGCAGTTTAAAAGGAAGAGCCAATGAAAATCACATTATTTACATTGTTTTACATTTGATATATTGGAAATTATAAAACTAAAATTTGCTTGGGATGGATATGTTTGCAACATAGGGTCAGACTCTTGGAATAATCTTTATACAATGACTAACAATAGTTAAAGGAAACACACTTAATAGTTATGATCTATTCTTAAACAGGTAGATTCATGTACATCTAGAAAACGCATCAAGTCCTACAATTGAAGTTACTTGATTTGATTCCCATATATTAGAATGAATGACATCAAAAAGAGGACTGGCTTATGACTGTGTACTGACTGATAGGGAAGGAAGACCAAACATGTTTTATAAGCTGAATGGATTCACAATTTTAGGAGTGCAACTTAGATAAGTGAGAAACCATAAATCTAAACCTTTTAAGACATGAATGACCTAACTGATCATGGAGAAGTCTTGGAAATATTATAGTAGAAGTGCAAGTAACTATATATGAATCCTGAAGGCAGTAAATCCCATGCTTCTTAATTCAATCATGTGAAACAAAAATATCGAGAGTTAGAGTTATAAAATTGTCTTGACCTACTTCTGTCTTCAAGGGTTTTTTCTTGTAATTTTTATCAAAAATAATTTGAGCTTTTATAAGATCAATCCACAAATCTTCAATATATATTGTACTTGTCAAAAAGTAGTGTGCGTGGTATTCCTACAAAGGTAGGGGATACTTTGAGACTTTAGTAGTTTTATAACAGTTCGTAGTGGTGAGAGGTCATGTTTGGTGGTGTTATGGTGGTTTAAGAGGATCAACTCACGTGAGGTGAAAGGCTATGTATATCATCATTATCTTGGTAAAAATGTGATATATTTTCTACCTTCAAAGAGTCAGATATTTATAGAGACTCTTGAGTCTAGCATTTAGGAAATTCTCAGAAGCAATAACTACACGCCTTTAGTTGAGGGGGACTATTGACAACCTATTTTTTAAAAAGTCTTAGTATGACTCAGTCTGCATGACTGGTGGAAGGATAATGGTATTGCACACGTGTCTTATTCTAAGGGCGAACCTCCATGCTACGCAAAGGTAACACCCAAGAGACACCACACGGGCGGAGATCTTTGTGTCGCTCTTATTTGCGACTCTCACAAATATATGCATAGTCCTTCAAACACAAGGGTTTGTAAAACGCGAAGTGCTTTAAGAATTATTTCAAGTTTTGTATCGTGGTCTAGGGCAAGTCTTTTGATAAGACTCAAGTCCCTTGTTTTGGAGCATGACCCTTTTAAATGGGAGGAGATTCCCTCAGTCTAGGTTGAGTCTCTCAGCTGAAAGCAACCTTTTGAATGGGGTGCGAGTCCCTTAGCTTGGGGCAAGTCCCTCAACTGATGACAACCTTTTGAAAGAGAGGCGAGTCCCACAGCTGGGAGAGAGCTCTCAGCTAAAGACAACCTTTTGAATGAGAGGCGAGTCCCTTAGTTTGGGGCGAGTCCCTCAGCTGAAGGCGACCTTTTGAATGAGAGGCGGGTCCTTTTTATATTAGGGTACGCCCCTTAGTTAGAGGTGAGTCCCCACTCCTTGTCAGATGTCTCTTGATTAACTAGGATGTCATTTGGAGATGTCAAACATCAATTATTCAAACGGTTATGCTTGCTTCTATTTATTGTAAAGAATGATGGTATATTTTTTGGGACACTAAACTCTAGTGCCACGTGCTAGAAGCGTGTTGAATTTTTCGGAATTCTTAGGGAGCCTAAAAAGTTTCTTGTGATTTTAACACTCTTATAAAATTTTCTCCTTTTATTTTCTTGCTCTATTTTGTTCTTTAAGACTTCTGCAAGCTCTTCCATAATCTTTCCAACTTTTTCACAAGTTCTCGATTCCTCGTTTTCAACCCTCTCAGGCATGATTTTTTTATTTATTATTCCTTCTTTTTTTTAGTAGTTGTTAGTAGTGATTGTAAGGAAAAGGTTCAAAATAGAGTTTAGCTTAGCGTAAAGCCGTGGGATTTGAAGATTATAGCCATCCCTTTTACGATTATGGCAGTGGTGATGACTTCTTTTTGTTCTTATACTTTTCTAGGAATAAAAAGATAATGGTTGTCCCTTCCTTTGTGCCTAAGGATGCCAAGGACATTGGACTTTGCTATACTTTTGACGAACAAATCCTCTCTTTCCAAACAAAAGTGGGTGTTTCTTCCTCAGAAGATGAAGGGTGATTATCCTAGAGGGTTGTGCACCATCAGAGAGGGTACCATACCTGTCTCTTCTGATCCCCCTCCTCTATTTCTACTTCAATCCCCACTTTATCAAGGATAATGAGATTTTTTTCCCTTTTCCTCTTTTGTCGTGGAGGCCCTGAAGGTCTTTAATGACACGCCTTCTTAGTTGTTTCCTTAAAATTGAGGTTTTATCAGGCCTTTGAGATGGTATGTGAAAGTTTGGAAATTTTCCCTACTGTGGGGATATTTTTCTCATTTTATGCTACCAGATCTTCAAGAGGCGGCATGGTGTCTTTAGGCAGTCTTTCGGGAATGGACTCTTTAAAGCCTCACTCTAACCATTACAAGAATTGGAGAGACAATTTTTCTCAAGTGTGGGGGCGAGAGGACTCTCTCGTAGTGTAAAGGATGATGACGTCCACCTTTTCCCTTGGCATGGACGGATGAATTTGTGGCGATCGCGGGATATGATAATAAGTATCTTACCCTAGAGAGAAGAAGATAGTTCACCTCCTAGGGAAGCTTGAGGTCATGGATTCATGCACAAAAATTGATTTGTGGCTGAAGGGCGATGGTTACCTCGGTGATTACCTGGATAAGTTTTGAATAATTTGGCACTGTTATGGGTGTTTTTCAATAGCGCATGTAATCCGTGTGCGTTGTTTTGCATATCAAATGGTGAGAATTTATGTGGAAGAGCGTAGGAAATGTAGGAAAATATCCAAGCCATTTATGGGGAGATTGTTATCTCCTAGAGTCATCTAGAGGGCTCTGTTATTAATGGAAGAAAGAGGCAAACATAGGAATAAGCTCTTTAATCGTGAAGGTTACGGAAACACAAGAAAGGGGGTTAAATTTGGTTTATAGAATAAAATCTTTTGCTATGCAAAACAATAAGGAGAGAACTTAGAATAAAAATAATGAACATGTCATACTCCAAAAATTTTCTTACTTTTTATTTTTATTTTTATTTTTGTCTGGCTCATGAGATTATTTGGGTTGGGGGAGTGAGTAGGGGTGATAATAGACTGGACCGAGTTAGGCTTTGGTAAACCTGAGTCCGACCTTCTAAAAATTCAAAGCCTAAGCCTGACATATGCCCTATCGTATGCTTATTTTTAGGCATGAGTGTGGCCTTTTCAAAGGCCTGATTGACCTATTAGCCTACATAAAAGTCTATTTTATTTGAAAATTTGTAAATAAGCAATTCAATTAATGTCTAAATAAACTAACAAATTAAAATATCAATGAAGCTAACTATTTATTTGCATTGATTTATTCAAGTTTACATATTAACATAAGTTTTGCGATACTATTTGTTTGAGATAATTTATGAAAACAACTTATGACATTGTTCATAAGATTTTTTTTAAACTTATTTTCATAAGTATTTTAAGATAACTAAGTTTTACTTTTATATTTTACTTCAAAATACAAATACAATATAATAATAATAATAAAATTATTCATATTTATTTAAATAGATCGATCTGATAGACTTAAAAAGTTATTTTTATAATCTGTGGCTTTATCTTTTTAATTAAATAGACTTATAAAAAATCCTAGATATTTTGTCTAATTTGACCTGAATCTGTGTAAGTTAAGTCGTAGGTCATTGTTAATTGATCTTACCTATTTCTACCCCTAGAACTAAGAGAAACGTTTAAAAAAATATTTTGAGAGAAAGATGAGGAAGATATGAGAAAATAAAAAGGTATTTATTGACATTAACACTCGTTTCTCAAACTATGTCATTAAACATATTAATAAAATAAATAAAGTTCCTATAACATCGATGAGTTTCCGATTTCATTCGTTTTAATTTGCACATTCAGAACCGTCCATACCCAACTATTTCAAACCAAATGTTTTTTTACCTGTTGACCCACGTCCCGATCAATACCTATCCGAATGCTACAAATATTAATTGGATCTGTCAGATTCTGTTCGAAATGGATTTTTTGTCCACCTCTAAAAAATAATTTCTTCATTCTTTGATAGTATTTTATCATTTATCATGCAATTTACTCATATTCAAAGAATTTTATTATTTATCATGCAATTTACTCATAATAACATTTTCCATACAAAAAGATGACAAACAACATAGCATAACATTAAATTGCATAACATAAGAGGAACATAAAAATGTATATCTACACACACTTACAATTGTTTCACACTTTTCTATTTCAAGTAACAATTAATGCACTTCAAAATTGCTAAAGAGAGTACAAAAAAGATTCCCCTCACTCTCACCACCATCCTATATTTTCTTAATTTTTAGGCCTTTTTTATAGCAAACATTCAATTAATTAAAAATATGCCATTATTCCTTTTTTGCCTTTCTTTCTCTCTTCTCATATTCTTCTTCATCCATGAAAAGCAACCACTTTGCCTACAAAGTTGTTCATCTTTCTTCTTATTTTCATGCACCCCTCTCTCTTTTTCTTCTCTTGTCTCCCATATTTCTTTGTCCTTCACTTCTACCTGCACATGCATTCATTTGTATCTCACATCAATGATATATTTGGTATCTTACAACCCTTTAATAAAGTATGGAGGGACCAAAACTTGAGTGGGATGTGCACGTGAAATAAGATAGATAGATAAATATAGGGACCATTATATGATATCTATAGTACTATTGCCCCACATTTTTCATATTATGGAGTTTACATGGTTACTAGATTTGATTCTCTTATCTTGGAAAACACACCCTTGCCCTATGTTTTTGTTCTTTTCTTTTATTACAAATTCAATATTCTTATCAGCTAGAAAAAATAAGCAAAAATATTGTTTTAGATTTTTTTAAGTTATTTTAAAATATCAAATTAGTTTCTTAAATTTTTTTAACGATTTATTTTTTTTAAAATTTCCGTTACAATAAATTACAAATTTATATACTATTTGAACTGATTTTTCGCGTTGATCACGAATGTACAATCAAATTTATCAAACAAGTTACATAATAGACGACATACATAATGAAAAATCATTGATCCGACATAAATACGCAATCAAATACAAAACTAATTACATATTTGTGATCGTCGTAAAAAACCAATTCAAATGGTATATGAGTTTGGAATTTATTATAAAGGAGATTTTTAAAAAAGGATTAAAAGGTTAAAAAAAAATTTATAAGACTAATTTGATATTTTAAAATAACTTAAAGGACATAGATATTAATTTTCCGAAAAAATATAATAGACAACAAAATATTTTCTCAATATATTTATCACGGTTACATGTCTAGATTCAAACTAAGATAATAAAACTTTCGTGCCATATGTTTTTGTTGTTTCTTCTTTTAGATTTTTAAAAATCGGATATTCTATGCACGCATCTGGAAAAACTAATCTCTTGAGTTGAAAAAAAATACAATAGCCGGGAAAATTCTCTTTCAAATAATTTAATATTGTTCCGTGTCTAAATTCAAATAAAAAATCTTTGATTAAGGTGGAAAATTTTTTTATCATCTCATCTAAGTATTCCTCTTTTCTTGAAATTTAAATTATAATAATTTTAAATTTTACCATGAATCATCCTCATGATCGGTCTATAGTATATCGCTTTTTAAAATTTTTAAAATTCCAACAATGATACACGTTGTATTTTAGAAGTTGAGGTGAACTATTTAAAATTCAAACAATGATACACGTCGTATATATGTTTATTTTATAGTGAATGAATGTCAATTAAATCATCATTTTATTATAATAAAAAAATCTAGCACTTACCTCTTCCTCTAATTTAGTTTCATTGTCATTTGAATTTAATGAGTCTTGAGATAGCTTTGTAGAAATCTCTATGATGGATGGAGTTAAAATAGTGCTAAGATTCCTTGAACTAAGAGAAGAAAATGTCCTCCTTTGAGTGTATGCATCTCTTGTCATTCCTTCCTTGTTCTCTTCTGCATAAGATCAATTAGAATCGTAATTAAAAGAAATATATTTTATGCGCGCAACTGCATAGACAAATCCATCACGTAAGAGAGAATTATAATATAGGCCAAAATTCTTTTTTAAGAGATTAAACCTTTTGTATTCTCAGGGTTGGATTCGAACTCGGGATCTGGACTATGAAATTGAAGAGCTACATCTTCTTTAGTGAAACTAAAAGTTGAAGCCATTGTTCTTGTTTGAATATGTCTAGATGAATAAACTAGTGGAGCAGACATGGTGATTCTATTTGTAGTTGAGTTTTGAAATAATCTTCCACTAAGTGTTTTTGCAGATAAACATTCCATTGGTACTTCTCCTGATAAAGGGTTGCATATATATTTTTCAGCTTCATTCCATTTTGAATTCAATGCAAATCCATCTGGTGATAAACACTCCCAACTTTTATAAACTGATCTTGCTTGCAATGCTTCAATATAAAAAAAAACACCATGCAAATAATTAGTTTTATTACAAACATCTGACTTCAACTATAACATGCATGTTTGAACTCGTTTTAAGATTAACAAATAAAAATGCTATAATGACATCACGAATATAACTAACTCGCATTTAATATAACTAATTTATAACTAACTTCTAACTAACTTGTAACTAATGTTAATAGCGGTAACAATATAACAAGTACCTTTAAGAGCGGTAGTGAAAGAATAGGTTGAAGGGTCTATTTCATCTGGAAAAAAAATAAAAAAAATTGAAATTTTTTTAAAGAAAATTTGATAATATTAAGAAATAAAAAAAATGAAATTATTGAAGTGAAATGAAAATAAATGTACCTTTGAATGTGTAACCAGGAGAAGAAGCAGTGCTAGAAATGGTTATGTTTGATCTAAAAGAATCTGTGTCTTCTCTAATGCTTCTTATGATTGATGCTGAATATCTTCTTGATTTTGTGTTCTCTCTACTTATCATTCTACTACCTTTCATTCCCCATTCTGTTAAATTGAAATCTGAATCATCTTGTTTCAGTGAATTATAACAAGATGATTGATGAATTTCCAATGTTGAAGCCATGTATTTTTTTCAGAACTTTTGTGAAGCTTAAGGTTTATATACTCAAATAGTGAAGTTTTATGAGTAAATCTTTAAGTTGGTATTTGAATTGTAAAATTTTTATTTACATTATCAATATTTTTTGAAATAATTTTGAAATTGTAAAATGTCATAAAATTAGGATCAGTTTGTTTTAACTTTAAAAGAATATTTTTTTTAAAATTTTTTTTTATAAAAATGCTTTTCAAAATATTAAAAGCTTTTTTCAATTTTTTTATAAATTAAAATATTAATTTTGACATCTTATAATATAATTATATATTATTGAAGATTAAAAAATAGTAAAAATTACAATATTTTCAAAAAGTTGTATTTCAAAGATGATTATTATGAAAAACTATTTTAAATAATTTTTTTAATTTTTATATTAAAAAAATTATAACAGAATGATGAAATATCTAAATAACATTTAAAAAATTACTATTCAAATTAATTTAAATTTAAGTTTTTCAAAAAAATAGTTTTTCAACAAAAATATATAACATTACAAAAATTATTTTTTTAAAATGAAAAATTGGGCCTTAATTTCTCTATATAAATCTGATATAGAATATATCTATGATATTATTTACTAAATTTAAAATTCATCTTGATATTATTAATTTTTATTTCTACAAAATATCAATTTAAGGACAAATTTGATTTTTTTATATAAATAAATGTATTGATTATTTTAAAATTTTGATAATCTAAATGATTAAATTGATACAACATTAGAATTTCAATAAAAAAATTAAAGTTATACTTTAATTGTTTAAATAAATTATACATGGTAATATTTTAAACTGCAATCACGGTCAGAGTTTTTTTTCCCAATTTTTTATATTACAATTAATTTTTTAAAATATCAAAAATTATAATAAAATATAACTAATATTATGGTAAATTTGTATTTTAAATTTAGGGACTCTTTGTATTCACGCAATTGAGATGTACATGTGGTCATTCAATCATAATAATTATTCAAATTTAAGTTTGATATTTAAATTATAAATTAAAAAAATTGTCAGGAATCAAAATTTATTTATATACATGAATTGTACAATTCATAGTACATGAACAGTAACTTTCTTTTTCTTTGCGGTTGTAATCTTCCTAGTTCACTATTGGCATTAAATTTTCATTGGATTGATTATGTTCTTAGTTGAAGAAAGACAAAATAAACATTTTTCTACCTTTTCCCTCAATTTCAATTATTATTTATAAGAATTTAATTTTTTATTTCACATTTTTTCATTCCATCTCATAAAATATATTTTATTTAATTAATGCTTGTTTTTAGAAAAGTATTAAATGTGTTGGCTTTAGTGAACAAAATTAATATTATTTATTAAATATAATTAATAAAATAGTTAAATAAAATGGAAATTAATAAATAAAGATATAAAAATAAAATAATAATAATAATAAATATTGTATTGAAAATTATTTTGAGAAAAAAAATATAAATCATACACTTTTTATCAGACAGATGAAGTAATTATTTTGTGGTGAAAGCTTTTCTGTTATATGCATGTGATTGAACCAGACACTTACTGTTGATGAAATCATGATGTAGATGTAACATTTTTTAATCATTATATTAGTGTTATGAATGGACTAAGCATATGGAATCTTTCACTTAAATGAACCAAAAAAAATAAAATAAAAAATGTGTTTGAATTTTTTTTATAGAGTTTGCGTTAGAAAATAATAAATTAAGTGTGAGTTGGAGTCTTATATAAGTTATAAATGTGAAGATTGAAGTCTGAATTATGTAGATATATGAGACTTAATTTTTTCAATACATCTCTAGCACCCAGCATTTTTAAAATTTGGTGCGTATATATAAATTGTGGGTGACCTAAATAAATAGACTCGTGATATCATGATAGAATTAGAGTTTGGTCTAACTCAACTTTATAAAACCGATTGGTAAGGTGAGGGGTGTCCCTCTATATAAATCTTTTGTAAATTGTATCTTAAACCAATGTGAAATTTGTGTTTTTCACAATAGACTCACACTTGAGGGAGAGTGTTGAGAATAATAATTCAAATGTGAATTAGAGTTTCACGTTAATTATAAATGTGAAGACTTAAACATTTATAAGCGGAAGAACTCACACATCTATTATTGTAAAATTTTAAATAAATATATAATGTCTGTGTCATTTGTGTGTTGCTCTTAGTTCAATATTAATGTTCCTCCTCGTAATCTAACAATTCTATTATACATGCGAATTTGAATTTGCGATATTTAATTTATTTTATTGAAATTAATTATTATGTATTGTTAATATAAAAAAATTTATATTGTCCATAATTTTTTTTACAGTGACTATTAAGAGTGTGGTTCAATTAAATTTTATTTTATTTATTTTTAAAATAAAATATGGTATAAAGCAATCATGGCATTATTATGTTACCTTACACAACCTCAACAAGACATTAGTATATTTTTTATTGCAAGACATTAATTATTGATACCCATTTTCAGGAAACTTTTTATTTAAGCTGCAGTTAGGTTAGGTGAAATTGGCATTGTCAATGACAAATTAGTTGAAAAGGTTCCAAATTAAAGAGATAAGAGCATGCATAAAGTAGTGGCTTATATACAATTACAATATGCTACCTTTTTTAACACTATTATTACATTGAAGAGGTTCATCTTTTTCTTTTTCTTTTTTAATAGAGATTGGAGTTGATTTACTAAAGTTTAATTAATACTATTCTTTTTAAATAGTTTTAGGGTTGTAATTCATTTTTTAACATTGAATAAATAAGATATCATAAATCTCATAGGAACAATTTAATCTAACGGCTAGAAATTATGGTCCAACATGACCCATAGGTTCACCTTAGATGCCACCTTAATCTTTCAATGTTTTAGGGTTTAGAGTAAATAAATTATTATCATAAAATTATTCTGTAATGATAAATAATTTCGCTAAATCAATTTAGCACAGAGATATTTGATTATAGGATGCAAATTCAAAAAACAAATTATTCATTTTTATGAGGTAGAGTTTTCACATTAAAATAATAGACTATGAAAATTTATGAGGAACAAGAATTATTTTTAATTGGATTTATAATCATTTTAAAAGAAATTCAAACCTTTTTGAAATAAGCTTTTTTTTTCAGTTCACTTTTGTTAGGTGGTGTTTGTGATAAATCAAAATATTATTTTTAATGCAAAATTTTAATTTTTAAATTCTTTAAAATATATCACCAATCTATATACCAATATAATATTGAATTAATATCATTTTTGTTTCCTATTATATAAGCGACTTTTGCATTTCCTTGTTATAATTTTTTTTTCAAATGTCAATTTTGTCAAATAATAATTTTGTTCGTTTAGACTTTTAAGTGATCTGACTTAATCTAAATGCCTATGTGTTTTATTGAATGAAGATTTTCTTTTGTTTTTCAGTTTTTTCAATTATACTTGGGCCAACTAATGTCATATTACTATATATTAAGTTATTGAATTATTTTTTTGCATTTAAAATTACTTAGCTTCCATTTTATCTCTCACTTCTTCTCTCTCGAACAAAATTATATTTTGCAAAAAATATTAAACTTTTTCTTCCTATCTCGGTTGTTCCTTAGTTGCTCAGGTTTAGCTTTCATTTTGTATCAAGTCTATTGTTGTTGATTACCTCTACTATGAAGTTAGGGTTTCCAAATGGGAGATAACAAAAAAATCTGTCAATTAAAAATTCGAAAGGAAGGGAAATACATAGACATGGTTGTAATCTAGCCATGAAGATGTGGGTTTCAAATACCTAAAAAAATTCTAAGATGAAGTTCTAGAGTTGTAGAAATTTTGGAAAAGTAAGTTTAGTCACACAAAAATTATTGGGGTGTATTCTAAATCTCATTATTTCTCAAACTCTTGATGTTGAATTTGTTGTTAATTGCAGTATGATATAAGTTATGAGTTATTATCTTGGATGATGAACTAGATGAAATGACATGAAAATCTCGAAATAAGGCACTTCCCACAAGTCTAGACATGAAGGGTAACAATTCCAAAGCTATACTTGGCTACCTGAAAGAGATTGGTAAGGATTTTTGTAAGGATTTTGGCAAGAAATTTGGCAAAAAGTCAACCTCAAAGAAGGTTGAATAAACAATGAAAATGCTACAAAATGAAAAGAGAAATGTTATTGATAAATGGTTTTCCTTATTATTTCATGGTTGTTGTTTTTCTATTATGTACAATATGATGCAACTGTTAATTAGGTTTAGTGACTCTAAATTTCATGTTTGAAAAAGTTTGGTTCTACATCTACAATTCTTAAGTTTTGATGATAACAAAGTATAAAGAATAATTTTGTACAATAATAATTTCATTAAATGTACAAAATCTTAAAGATAAGGAAAATTGAGAGGAATGGACTATAAACAAAGTTGACTCTATATAGAGCAGACTATGGACAAAACAGACCCTAGATTCTTGACAAGAAACTCTCGACTCTAGACAAAGAGACTTTGAACTCTGGACAAGAGACTCCAGACTCTAGACAAGAGACTTTAGACTTCAACATATTCTAAACAAGGTTGAAATATGAAAAAGTGTTTAAATGATAGTCAACCATCTGGATAACCACATCAATGCTTCTGGAACAAACAACTCAAATTTACTTTGATAACCCAAGTCTCATTCTCACTAGACTCTGAAGTATAATCTTCAAGGCTCTGAACTCTAATCAAGCTTCAAATCATCTCAAATACGAAGTCAATGATTTATAGAATAACGTTGAAAAAACATTCTTGGAAATAGTACATTCAAGCGGATAAATCAAATGTTTCCTTAAAAGGACAAATATGCTAGAAATGTTAAGGAATGTACTACCAATAAATCTCCACAATTCACGGATCATCCTCGTACCGTTATTATAGTAGTGAAATTGAAGAAGTTTCACATTATCCTCTAACTATACTATTTATCATCTATTTAAAGAGGATGATGA